TATTTGCAGTTTCTTTTAAAGTCATTATTATCTAGAGACTTAAAAAACAGAAAGTAATTCAGTCTAATTCCTTCTAGTTTCCTGCTAGATTTGGCCTTTATTTTAACAGTCAATGTATTTTCAGTGAGGTGTAAATAAATAGATAAGCATTTTAGTTATCTTTGATAGCACTGAGCAATCTGGAATAAATACTCGACTTGATCATTAGCTGTATTTGACATGAAGATACAATATATTAAAAATACAGATGTAGTCTAGGACATCTTCATCAGTAGTATAAATTTGTCATTTTTACTAGACTTTCTGTTAATAAAATGTGGTATACTGAAAAACTTGACTATTTAAACATATTTAAAATTTAAATTCAAAGCCCATTCTTTTCTACCACTAGGACTGATAATATTATTATAGCAGAGAATATGGTAGGAAATACACTGGTATTAATAAAATAGCATATCACATTTATTTTATTTCTGTTGCAGAATGCTTGGTACAGACTTAGCAATTAAAACTGCTTCCATTCCATATTTTCTGCCTACAAATTCTTATAAAAGCAAGGTGGTAAAAGAGAATTTATTTTTTTAAAATGAGGCAGTATGTCAAATAACAATAGAAAATATAACACATTGATCCAAGTGCTCCAATTCAAATATATAATAAAGTTAACAAAATCAAGAAGCTCCATAGACACTCAACAGAATAAATAAGGAAGAAATAAATAAAGTACTTTTGGAGGATAATATTTTTGAATAAATGAGATCACAGATACAGCTAATTTTTTATGCTTTTTGAAAAAGCATTTCATAAAGAAGACTCTTTGGTTATAAGGTAAAAAAGTCACCATTTAAGCAATTCACCTCACTAGCATCAAATGTGACAGGTAACCTCAAAAGAATTATGAATTTCTTATGACCAACATTTCTTTCAAATAAATTTTTATCTAGATAATTAGGGATTTTCAGTCTTCACATTTCATTCCTGTAGTATCACATTCCTTTAGCTCCATGACTAATTAACATTTAAAAGAATAAGATTATCCACTGGAAGGGAGAGATGTCCCTATGAATATCAAATTATTTTTCTCTCTCTCAAATGAATACAGTGAAGGAGATAGAAAGCCAGTACTGAAAGCTACCATGAGACTGGAATATTTCAGTGGATATATGTGAACACAGAGCCTGGTACACAGTAGGAAGCAAATAAGTGTTTTTTGATTGATATATTAAAAATACAGATGTAGTCTAGGACATCTTCATCAGTAGTATAAATTTATCATTTTTACAAGACTTTCTGTTAATAAAATGTGGTATATTGAAAAACTTGACTATTTAAACATATTTAAAACACTTCATCTAGTGTTCTGTAGGGGTTTTCCAAATTCTACTTTGCAAATGTATTCCTGAAAACATTATCACATGATGCAATAAAGGTCAATTCTTTGTATAACTCATGTAATATGTAACAGATAATGAGAAAATTCTGTCAATAAGTCATAAACCAGGTAAGAAAAAGGATATAAATTGTCTTCTAAATGCAAAATTGTTTGTATATCTAAATAGGCTTGTCAACAAAATACTTAGGATTCTAAGCCACATTTTTATTCATTTTAATTGCAAATTTAATGTAAAATTATACTTATTTAATTTTATTTATAAACATGCCAAAAGATTATCTTAAATAAACATTTAGCTTAGCATAACTGCATCAAAGAAAAAATAGATTTCTTAAAATTAGAAGCTACAATTGCTACTCAAATCTGAGATTTACAGTTAAGCAATGGTTTGAATTTTCATTTGTATCACATAAATAATGGCTAAATGACATTTGCAGATTACAAAACCCTTAATTTCAAATAGTTGGAAATCATAAATAATCTTCTCTGGAAGCTTATCACATGTAACCATATAGTCATTATATTTTTGTCCTAAACTTGATTTAAAGAGTATTATATTAAAACTGCAAATGATTATAATTAATTTTCTTTTGTCCACTTCAAAGATGAAATTTGTTTTTATATTATTCTACGTTATTTACATCAGCCAATGCTAAATACTTGCCATTAATATAGTAATACTATAATATCATTGATTTATTAAATTTATTTATATTTATTTGTGAAAGTATAATATTAGTTACCTTCCACTATATTGTGATAACATTTATGCTGTTGTACACAGGCTCTGAAATCTTATATTACTTCTGGCCACTGATCTCAAGATCAATTTGAAACTGAAAAGTTGAAAGCAAACTACAAGAGCAGAAGAGTCATACCCGTTAATATTTTAAATAACTCAATGATAAATTTTTATGACATAAGCTCATATAAAGTTCACCTTGTTTGCAAGTACTTTATTTCTCTATCTGCATTCAGTAGAAATGTTAGATTTCTAAAATAGCAGATGAACCATATGAGCATTAATTTAAATGTATTTGCCAATGAAATTCTCAGAAATCCACACAGCCAATACCTTAAGAATGTATGTATTTCTCAATTCAATAAAATATTCAAACACTTGAAATATGGCTATGCCTGAAAATGATATTTCCAATCATAGATTTTTTTTTTCCTTTTAACAGTCTTCGAGAGCATGAGATTTTCTACAATAGTCTTACTACTGAAGTGTAGATGCTTTTCTAACTAAAGGAGGTAGCTGTTTCCTTCACTTTAATCCTTCAATTAAAGTGCACTTTCACATTTATTAAAGTCAGAATCCCTGAATAATCCTTTAAACCTGAATTGTTCTAATGCCATGCCTGAAGAATACCAATAATTATGAAATTTGACTGATTCTATTGACATTTCTGATTTCATTCCTGTGTCATTTGCAGATGCAGCACATAACACTGGATGTGAATTTTAAAGGAGTACAGGTCAGGCAAGGTCTTCTTTTTGCTGATGAGATTTCAGGAGAATAGGAAGAATTCAAAATTAAAATAAATGGGACTAAAGAGAGTGCCAAAAACATTGCCTTCCACTCCACCCCCTCTACCCACAATTGTTCAGACATTTCAAAGTGGGTGTCATGTCTCCTTTAGGACATCATGAAATTTACTCTATTCTTATTGAGTTTCAATGCACATTTTTATTCTGCAAACCCCGATTTAACACTGTGCTTTGTTGAAATGCAATGACCCTCTTCAAACTTGAAGGATTATTGTTTCCTCAACTAACTTGGTTTGAAGTAAAATAAACTTTCAATAAATGATGAATGGTATGGGGTTGTAATAATTTTGTAGAGCATACTTTTTACTGAACAGGTCATATTTTTATACAATTTCAAGAGTTTTTAGTTTTCAATTCTGTTCCAGACTGAAAGTGTAGCTTTCTCCAAAATATTTTGTGTTAGGTAGCAAGTGATTAACCTATTATTATATTCATCTGACTTAGGATCCCCAGATCAGTGTGTGTATTTTCTGCTAGAATTAAAGTACTAGGCAAAGGCTTCAGAAAGACCTTCAAAAGGGATACAGGGACAACAGAGTACTAATCTATAATGTGAAAAAACAAAACACTTTTCTCTCCTTAGTGCAATGTGGTTGTGACCAGCTGAAGACACTGTCCAGATCTTGTCTTGCCTATACTCTGTATTTCTCTTAGTATCCTGGTTTATGACAGGTTCTTTATAAGTATTTGTGGAATTGAAATGACAATAATAAAAACTTTCCAAAAGAAGATGGCTAAAATTACTTGGTGGAAAGTTGATCACCAGAGAGGGAATCAGAGTAATTCTGAGGGATAGGGAATTACAACAGAATCATAATACCCTAATTAGGGGAGTATGTTCTAATTCTAGACAATGCAAATGTTGGCAAGGAGAAAAGACCAGTGGATTGTGAGCCTGGTGAAATAAATTCATATTCTAGCCAATAAAACTTTGGTGAAATTGAAAGTCAATCAGTGCGAACTCAAGACTTGGGTATTTTCTGTAACTAGGATGTCCTAGGATCCCTCATTGTTTCTGAATCCAATTGTCCTTGCTATAAACCACCTGGGGACAATCAGCAGCAATATCAAATGCAGTCAGTCAGGACTCAAGACTTTTCTACCATATCCCAGAGGTGAGAACCTTCATCCTCATGCCCCTTTAAGCTTATTTTTATGTGTTGTCTCCACCCCCCCATTATAATGTAAAGTTTTTGAGGTCAGGGACTGTCTTTTGATTTGTATTTGTATTCCCAGAGTTTGGCACAGTACCTGGCATAGAGTAGGTGCTAATAAATTGCTATTTCTCTTTATAATGTTTTTCAGAATGGTATTTGGGGCAGCCCTGAGTATCAAAGCTTAAATATGGGCCTTCTGCCGTAAGTACCAGGCAATATCTTCAGAAAGGTCATCAAAGAAGGTTCACAGAAACATGTTATCAGGACACTGTCCTTTAATAAAATGAAAAGAAACTTTTCCCTCACTATTGTTGAAGTACTGAAACAAAACAAAAATACTTAAAGCTCTACGGCACAAAATGTCTAAATGATTTTGGAACCAGATTGTCCACTGTTGAGGGAACTCAGATTAACAGAGGGAAGTTTAGAGAGATATTGAAGGAAATCTCAGCAAAAAATGAAGTGACCCCACAATGTACAAATACAAGAAAATGATTTTTTAAATATATTTAACCTGAATCTTGCATAGGCTACCATGCTGAGTATATTCTGTGTAGCAGGAGAACAAAGACAATTTTGGATTAAATAAGGAAGTAACCCAACAAATAAATAAATGGAAAAATGAAATGATAACACCAACCCCATCTCCTACCTGATATTTTACCTTCCAAGTAATAAGTCTGAGGTAGATCAGTTACCTTTTAATTATGAATTTAGGTCACTGGGACCACATGATCTAAAGGTTATAACCAAGAATACAGTGATGATCTATATATGTTTAACATGTCTTTTCTCTCATGTAATGTCATGGAGCCTAATTTATATTCCTTTAAAATGTGGACTGTACAACAGACATGATATCATAATTAGCCAATGAATATTTATGTCATTCTACTTACAGCCTTCGTATATGTCAGTGGGAATGTGGACCGCGGCATGCTGGTAGGATGTTTGTCGTCGAAAGACAGCATCTTCCACAAAAACAGGTTTGATCCTTTGGCTGTCTGGCTCACTCTCATTTTTTTCCAACTTTATGGAGAAAGACAGGCAAAGAAGAAGAATTACAACTCAAACTAATGCAGCTATTCATATGTTTTCATTGTCCATAAATGTATAACTCATTTTAATATTCTATAGAAACATTACATGATGAAGATTCATGAGTAATATTACTATGCATATCTTTCCTCGGGAAAATTTCTAGCTCACACAGATTCCCTCAACTTTATATTCATGTTATAGCATATAGACACACATTATATCCAATCACAAATGAATGTGTAAGTCAAATCTGTCTCACATGCAAGATAAAGAATGTGTGTATATATGTATGTGTGTATGTGTATGTGTCTGAGTATCTGAGTATAAATGTATGTTTACATGTGTGTATCACACACACATAAACAGAAACACAAACACACATGTTCATGGTATTCCAAAAAGTATTAGGCTAAATTGTAAAGCTATAAAAGCTTTTGTGATAAGACTTTTAGAATATCCTGTACACAGAGAATACATAACTAATGCATTTTAACAATAGAATTATTATTGAGCAATATAGAAATGATCAATTGGGAAAAATATAATCACATGAGACTTCCACATATACAGAAGTAAATTTCAATTTTAGGTCCATTTTGTTTTTTATATATCTACCAAGAAGTTCAACTTTGTATTCTAAAGAGAATACGTCCAAGAAGTTTATATACCATAAATAAGAAATCACTTGTAAATGTGAATACAGTTAAAATCTAACCTCATCCAATTTGTCTACTAAGGCAGGAGCCAAAATCTGATCAATAATGGCACAAGAGAATGAGAATGAAGATTAACTTTCCATATATTCAAACTTTCCTTTGGTTATTCAATTATATGGTTACCTATACCTGACAATCCGCAAAATATCTTACTCATTTCTTCAAAATAAAGCTCTAGACCAATTTTTCTTGCCCCATGTAGTTATTACCTTTCATTTCTCTTCTCAAATATTATTAGTATGAGATATTATCTGTAGCTATTACTACATGAATGAAAAAATACATGAGACATAGATTCACAGGAGACTTGGGGTGTCATTGTTTTAAGGAATACAGAGAGATGAGAGAGATGGAGGCAGTGACAAGCAAAGACAGGGAGAATAAAGAGGGGAAGGCTAGAAGGAAGATATCTAAAGTTAAGCATAATCTTTTGATTTTCAGGTGTCAGTAAATGAAGTATTAATTTGATTGGATTCCTGTGATATAGCGCCGGAAAACTGAGCATGCTTATGAAATTCACACACTGTCATTTACTCTTGAGCACCAATAAAACTATCACATTAAAATGAATGACTAACATGGATAATAACAGAAAAATGCTAATTCAAACTAATAAATATGGTGATTTCTCTTCTATCACCAACACACACACACACACACACAAAAACACACACACACACATACACTAATGCCTTAGTAATAAACAGGATGGAATTTATTCTACAATAATGAAAAGTATAAATTTTCCCTAATGTTTTATGCAAACATAGATTTAAGTATATAGAACAATTTAAATCTAATGAAAAGTAATGGTAGATGTTCTATTTAATGACTAGATAGCATATAAACCCACCACTGAAAACTTTGATGGGAATTTTATTATTTGTGTGTTTCACAGACATACTCCTATGCTTCTTTTATGTCGTGAAAGGGACCTCGGGTTTTCTGAGGCTTTGCCAGTAGAGTCTAAGTTCTGGAAAGGTTTTACTGAACTGGAAAAGATTCAAATATGTCTCAGAGGTAGAGTCTATTTTTTGTCACTTGAAGCCTAGCCTTGCTAAATTCAAAAAGATTCATCATTAGACAGTTGGCTATCAGATGATGATTTTAATTTCATTTTATTTTTGCCACAGCAACTCACTAAGATTCTCTCTTGAGTCATTAGGAGTTGCTATCTTTTTCAAAGCATGGAGTACTAACTCGGGTGAAATGTTTTATCTTTTGAAGTCTTCGTGTATGTTAATGTTCAGCCTGGAGTAGCAAGACTTTCAGGGACCAATCAACATTTTGAAGAGCTGCCAAGTGATGAATTATTTAGGCCACACTAGCAAATGAACACCACTTACTATAAGAGAGAGAGGTTTTTGAGCTTCATTGGAAAAGGACTACCCTTATTGACAAATGCACAATCCTTAAAGTATTAATATAAGTAACATTCACTTCCTACAGCCAACCTTAATTATCCAATTCTTTCAGGAACCTAGGCAGCCTGGTGTGGTTGGAAGAGTATTGCATTTGAGGTTGCAAAACCACAAAGATCACAGAAGTTCAGAGTAAGAAAAGGCCTTCAAGACCACATAAAGTAACATCTGTCTAACTAAGGAAACCAACAGGTTGTTATCCAGGTTTCTTCTGAGAACCTCTAATGACCAGCAATGCAATGCCTCCCAGGGGAATCCATTCCACTGACAGGCAATTTTGGCAGCTAGAAAGTGTTTTGTTTGTTTGTTTTCTTTGTTATATTCCTAGTCCTGCCCACCGGCGCCAAGCAGAACAAGTCTATTCTCTTATTCCCATAACAGTCCTGCAAATGATTAAATACTGCTTTTGTGTCCCACTCTCCCAAGCACCTATCTTATTCTTCCAGATTTATCCTTTAATGGTCATTCTCCAGTTTACCCATTTTCTTTTAAAAAGTGGTACCCAGATTTGGTCTAACTATGAGAGAATATCATGGGATCTAGTCATAGATACTATACTGTTCTTAAAGCAATCTAAGATCATCAGCTTTCTCAATAGTCATGTTGAATAAATCATATGGATCTTCTATTCCCCTAAAAAAACCTTAACTTTTTTTTCAGAGAAACTTTCAAGTTATTCCACTAACATATTGTACTTAGGAAGTTGAATGTTTAAAAAAGTTAAAAAAGAAAAACATCACTTATTCCAATTTAATTTGATATTATTTGACCCAGTGTTCTAGACTGTGAATATCTAATAGAATGCTGATTCAGACATTCCTTGTGTCAGCTATTTTTCCTAGTTTTATTGCATCTGCAAATTTAATAAATATCCCATATATGACTTTGTCAAAGTTACTGATAAACATGTTGGCTGTGTTGGGGACAAAGAAATTCTCTTGCACATTATAGTAGAGCCATCCATTCAATTTGGCCCTGAACTATTTATTAATGATTACTATTTTGATACTGCTACTTAACAAGTTCTGAATTGACCTGTTATTACTAATCACTAATCCATATCATGTAATCATAGCTAAAAGAATAATATGAACAACTTTGTCAAATGATTTACTTATAATTTAGGTAACCTATATCTGGAGCATTCCTCTGCCTTGCTAATCTAGGACCACTTTCACAAAAGGAAATGAGGCTAGCCTGGTGTGATTTATTCTTGAAACCATTTTGATATTTCAATGTCATTAATTCCATGTAATGTGTACTAAGTATTTCTTTCTATTTTTTTTTTTTTTTTTGGTGAGGCAATTGGGGTTAAGTGACTTGGCCCGAGTCACACAGTTAGTGAGTGTTACTTGTCTTAGGCTGTACTAAGTATTTCTTCAAAATACCTTTGACTTCACCACAAATTAAAGTCAAAATCAGCAGCTCATCTATAGTTTGCAGGCTGCACTCTCTTTTCTTCACTTCACATCCATCCATTTCCTTCACTGTCCACCATAATGCATGTGTAAATCCAGATATACATTATATACTGCAACATAAAAACAACTTCCCAATTTTCATTAAGATTGCAAACATTTCTTGAAGTTTAACTTCAGCAAAAGTACAAGTTGAACAAAGCTCTTTGTGCAAATACCTGGAACAAAGGATTTTTTCTAGGACTTGTCATAAATGCCTTGCTAAAAAAGAAGACAGTAAGCTACTCTAAATGGTCTGCAGATCTCCAGCAAAGTTCTGTGTTTGGGGTTGCTTGTAAAGTATTCCAATAATCATTTCTAAGTTTCAAGTTTAATTTGTTCTTAAAAGCCCACACTTAGCATTTAAAAAACCCATGTTATTGAATCTAGAGAAAAACAGAGGGGAACCACCCCAAATGGCTATATCACTTACTTTTTAAATATTGTCAGATTAAGGGATGCTACAACCTATGCCTGCAACCTATTCTATATCTATATCAATCTATACACATACATATATCCACACATGTGTGTACACATATGTACATGCATATATGTGTGTGTGTATATGCATTTGTATATATATATTACACACATGCATTACATATACATACACTATATATGGTAACAATTATACACTACAGGTTGAAATTTTATTTTTATTCACTAATGCATCCCAGCTTTTATGGGTTTTACTTTTAAATCTCATGACAAGAACCATAAAAGGAAAAGTTATTAGCTAAATATATTTTATTATTATTTTGGGCTCTTTAAAATCACTAGATATTCATTACAAAGATTTATGTAGCTTTGTATTCAATGCAGTTTCCCTATTAACAAAAAAAAAATGGAGATTCCTACTGATATATACAAATAGAAAATTAGTGCAATAATTTAAGAGTTTATGTTTTACGACTTCTAAGCAGTGTGCTACAATATGCCTATTTTCAGCTGTTGAGTAAACTGCAAAATATAAAAAGAAATATAAGGTTTTGTCAGTATGGGCACACCTTTTTAAAAGTTTCATTTTAGGTATTTTTAAGGCAGGAAAAAAAGCAGCAATGTTAACTGCCAACTGTAGTAAAATTACATGAATGCAGAAACAACCCCCAGGTCCAGATGGCATTATATATTGGTAAAAACCTTAGGAAGGTAACCCCCTACTGTATGCCCCAATCTCTTCCATTTCGCATAACAGCATGAGTTCCAGTAAGCTCAGTGGAAACTGAGTGCTTGTGAGAGGGGGAAGTTCTTAAAATGTATTTCTTCTATAAAAAAGGTATTCTTTTTCCCATTCCCTTGTGTCTTTTCTTTTGAAGTGGAACAATGTGGTCTGCACCTAGTCTCTATCCATCCAAAGCCAAAATGGTTGGTTTCACGTTAAATAAAATGGA